GCTGATGATGGTGACGATGAAGAGGCGGCGGCGGCGGAACGGTGACGGGCCGAGTCGAGCAGAACGACGACTGTGCACTATACACCATGACAAGTAGCACTCGTGATGTGCGACGGAGGAGCAGGAGGAGGAGGAGGAGGAGGAGGAGGAGGAGGAGGAGGAGGAGGAAGAGGGGGGGAGGAGGAGGAGGATGAGAGGAGGAGGGAGGAGGGAGGAGGATGGAGGAGGAGGAGGAGGAGGAGGAGGAGGAGGAGGAGGAGGAGGAGGAGGAGGAGGAGGAGGAGGGAGGAGGATGGAGGAGGAGGAGGATGGAGGAGGGAGGAGGAGGAGGAGGAGGAGGGGAGGAGGAGGAGAGAGGAAGAGGATAATCATGAGGCGAGCACGCGAAGCGGCGCGCCGCGCCGGGAGCACGGGCAGAGACAGAGGGAGGAGGCGAGGAGGAAGAGGGAGGACAAGCAAGAGGAGGGCGGCGACGACGACCCGGACACACGAGGAGGAGGAGGAGGAGGAGGAGGAGGAGGAGGAGGAGGAGGAGGAGGAGGAGGAGGAGGAGAAAGGAGGAGGAGGCGGAGGAGGAGGAGGAGGAAGGAGGAGGAGGAGGAGGAGGAGGGAGGAGGAGGAGGAGGGCGGCGACGACGACCCGGACACACGACGTCGTGATTTTCGATCAGCACGTGGTGCTGGGTCCCCGTTTTGAGGAGACAGCACCCCCGCGTTCCTCGCTCCTCACGGCTCGCTCCTCGCTCCTCCTTCCCCGCCTCCCTCCTCCCATCGCTGCCTCTGCCCTCCAAATTTGCCTGCCAAATCGGTACACCCCTCACGCGCTTCGTGACCCCATGGGGAGATGAACGGAAAGCTCCAGAGGCGACGGTCGCATGTGCCCCCCCCTCCCCCACCCATTTCGGCACACGCACACACACACACACACATGTCTCGTTGCCCCATATGGGAGCTCCGCATAAGGCCCCAGTGGCGACGTTCGCATGCGCCCCCCCCACCCATTTCGGCACACCCCTCGCACGTTTCGTGGCCCCATGGGGAGCCCCGATTAAGGCACTAGTAGCGACGGTCGCATGCGTCCCCCCCGTCGATTTCGGCGCACCGTCACACGTTTCGTGGTCTCGTGGGGAGACGTCCGCATGCGTCATCCCCGCCTGTTGCGGCACACACCCCGCACGCTTCGTGGGCCAATAGGGAGCTCCACCGAAGACCCCAGTGGCGAGGTTCGCATGCGGACCCTTCGCCTATTTTGGCACACCACTCATATGTTCCATGACCCCACGGGAAGCTCCACCGAAGGCCCCAATGGTGCCGTTCGCATGCGTCCCCAGCACCCTTTCTGGCACACCCCTCACCCGTTGCGTGGACTCATTGGGAGCTCCACCTGAGACCCCAATGGCACATTCCGCATGCGTCCCACCCCACCCATTTCGGCACACCTCCCACACGGTGCGTGGCCCCATAGGGAGCTCCACCAAAAGCCCCAATGTTGCCGTTCGCATGCGTCCTCCCCGCCCATTTCGGCACACCACTCACACGCCTCGTGGCCCCATAGGGAGATCCACCGAAAGCCTCAATGGCCGCACCCGCGTGGCACCGCCGCACCCGTTTCGGCACCCTTCACATGTTTTGGTGGCCACATGGGGAGCTCCACCGAAGGCTTCAGTGGCGACGTTCGCATGCGGACACCGGACCCATTTCGGCGCACCTCTCACACGCTTCGTGGTCCCATAGGGAGCTCCACCGAAGGGCCCAATAGCACAGTTCGCATGCGTCCCCCCCCACCACACCACCATTACGGCACACCCCTCGCGCGTTTCGTGGCGCCATGGGGAACTCCATCGAAGACAATTCTCTCAACCGCGGTACTCACAACTGCATCTGGTTGGATCCTTCGCCAGGATGTGTGCCCCAACCATACTGTGTTGGGTTGGGTCCTCGTTTTGACGAGACACCGTGGGCTCACGCGCCTCCTTCCTTCCTTCCTTTCTTCCTTCCTTCCTTCCTTCCTTCCTTCTTCCTCCCCCTCCTCCCTCTTCCCCCTCCTTACTTTTGCTCAACGCGTCAGTCTACAACCATTTCGGCACACCGCTCATAAGCGTCGTGACCCCCCCAGGGAGCTCCACCTAAGGCCTCGGTGGCGCCGTCCGCATGCGTACCCGCCAACCATCTCGGCACACCGCCCACACGTTTCGTGGCCCACATATGGAGCTCCACCTAAGGCCGGCCCCAGTGGTGCCGTTCGCGTGCGTCCCCGACACCCATGTCGGCACGCACCTCACACGCTTCTTGGCCCCATGAGGAGCTCCACACAATGCCCCAACGGTGCCGTACGCATGCGTCCCAGCCGCCCATGTCGGCACACCCGTCACACGTTTCGTGGCCCCACGGGTAGCCCCAGTGGTGACGCTGGTATGCGTCCTCGCCAACGATTTCGGTACACTCCTCAAACGCTTCGTAAGAGCTCCACCTAAAGCCACAAATTGTGCCGTTCGCATGCGTCCCCGCAGCCCCCTTCGGCACACCCCTCACACGCTTCTTGGCCCCACGAGGAGCTCACCACAAAGCCCCAATGGTGCCGTTCGCATGCATCCCCGCAGCCCATGTCGGCACATCCGTCACACGTTTCGCGGCCCCATGAGGAGCTCCACCCAAGGCCCAAATTATGCCGTTCGCATGCGTCCCCGCCACCCATGTCGGCACACCCGACATACGTTCTCGCGGCCCCACACCAAAAGGCCCCAATGGTGCCGTTCGCATGCGTCCCCGCCACCCATGTCGGCACACCCGACATACGTTTCGCGGCCCCAGAGAAAGCTCACCTAAAGGCCCCAATGGTGCCGTTCGCATGCGCCCCCGCCACCAATGTCGGCACACCCCTCACACGCTTCGTGGCCCGATCTCTACCCACGGCCCGAGTGGCACGGTTCATGTGCGCTCGCGACCACCGCCATTACGGCACACCCCTTCAACGTTTCGTAGCCCCAGAAGGACCTCCACCGAAACCGGTAACCACAACGCGGTATTCACAACTGGGTCCTTCGCCCGGATTATCTTTAATACGGGATCCCCAGATATCCCGACCCTTCCCCAGGGTCGACTTGTCATCCCGAGTCGCATCCTGTCGGTCCTGAAGCCCGGCGACGGCCCTGGGAGGCCGAAAATTGCAGACAACGACCGTCGCGTTTTCTCGCAACTCGTGGAGGTGGGGAGAGGAGGAAGAGGAAGAGGAGGATGAGGAATAATAACAGGAGAAGGAGGAGAAGAGGAGGAGGAGGAGGAGGAGGAGAAGGAACACGACGACGAACGACGACGACGACGACGACGACGACGACGACGACGACGACGACGACGAACGACGACGACGACGAGGACGACGAGTGCGGCCTTGCAGGGCCGGACCCTGACGCCAGATCCGCCGTGCTCTGGGCGACTTTGCAGACGCAGGGCGGAGACTCGCGCCCTATTTTTCAGGCTCCTTCGATGTCGTCTTCCGCCCCACTCTGCCGTCGCTGCTTCCGCCTTATCGCTGCGGATATATATATATATATATATATATATATATATATATATATACATATACATATACATATATATATATATATATGTATATATATATATATATATATATATCCGCCCTACTTTCCAAAGCGGACATATCCGCCCTGCTTTGTCGCACCGTTTGGGTCGACTTGGCGACGCAAGTCGGAGTCGGAGCATCCCCGCCAGAGCCAATCAGACGTCCCAAGAGAGCCCTCCAAGAGGCCCCCTGAGAAGCCTTCCAAGAGACCCTCATGTGCATCCCCGAGGCTCCTGACACGCAAGCCAGGCACGGCGGCACGACTCTTGACGAGTTTAATTGCCGTTACTGGGGCCCGCGGACTGGCGCGGTCCTCTTGAACCACCTGAGACCCGACGCCTCGAAAAATCGAAACACGGCGAAACATCGCGACAGGAGCCCTTGAGCAGGGACCGACCGCCCCGGCACTCCTATAGTCCTACCACGGAATGTTCTTAGAACCCAAACATGTTCTCTAAGAGCAAGAACAGTGTTCTTAGAGCACAAACCTGATGTGATAAAATGAGACAGCCTCCGCCAGAGATGTCCTAAGAACACCCCGTGGAAACCACCAAAGGTGCTTAGAGCATTGCTTGGTCGACCCTGCTTGAAGCCCTAGACCCCATCTTTCGGGAGCGGCCAAGAGGGGGGCGTCCAAGAGGGGGGGGCGCAAATCATGGCCGGCGGCATGTGCGCGGCCCAGCGGGGGGGCCGAGGCACGTAATGAAACAGGAAGAGGCGCCATGAGATCTGAGGACATATCACGGCCCACGCCATGATATTCCTTCCCCACCCCCTAATCATCACCCCCCTCTTCTCCGCCCCCGACGCTTGAAGCCCTAGACCCCATCTTTCTGCCATTCCTCGAGCCTCGGTCGCTCTATGAGGGCCGCGGGGCCGGCGGCCGGGCAGAGACGCCCGCCGCGAAAAAAAAAAAGATGGCCACGCAGGGCTCCCAGGGGGTGAGCACGGGAGAAAAGTACGGCGGACCCGACGTCGGGGCACGCAGCGGCAGCCCCGAGAGGCCTCTCCCGCGGCGACGCCGGAGGTCGGGAGCCCAGAAAGGACGTACGCGCCCAGCCATGTACATGGACACGGCCCCTCGACCCGCGAGACCGGCCGCGTGGCACGAACACTCGCGCAGTGCGAACTCTCGAAACCAGCGTGGATTCATGTACGTGTACGTCCTTCGTTCGCTCCTGAGGAGGGTGTGGTCTGCACAGGGTGCGGCTTGCAGCCGGCACCCTGGGGGGGGCACCCTGGGGGGCGGGCGGGGACCTCGACGGAGCTCTCCGCCGCGCCCAGAGGAGGCCCGACGAGGACAGCGTCGTGCCCCCCAGGCCCCAACGGCGCCAGTCGCAAACCACACCCTTTGCAGCCGCCAAGCAGCAGAAGCAGCAGCAGCAGCAGAAGCCCCGAGAGGCTTCGCTAAGGCGATGGC